GGCATCCAAAATGTGGCCCGGGAATGGAGTTCTGGGAACTCGAAGAGCACGAAGTGGCCTACAGTTGGCTCCGGGCATCCAAAATGTGGCCCGGGAATGGAGTTCTAGCAGCGCCAAGAGCGATTTTGCGAGGATGTCCCAAGCGATTTGGGCTTCGGCGGCAGCCGCCCGGGTCCCGCCCCGACCCCCCTGTGGAGTCATCTGCTGCTCTCTTTTGAGACCACTAGAAACCTATCAGCAAGAGCTGTTAGGTAAAATTATCCCGGCAAAGCAACCTAACAGCGATGTGTAGGAGCATATCTGGAAGCATTCCCCTTAAGATTCAGATGAGAATCCAGTTGTAGAATTCTGCTGTTCTCGCAGTCGTAGTCGCATTCGCGATGACAGTCGCAGCGGCAACGGCAGTCGCAGTCACAGCCTCAGCCTCAGCCTGCCTCAGCCTCAGCCTCAGCCTCAGCCTGCCTCAGCCTCAGCCTCAGCCTGCTTCAGCCTCAGCCTCAGTCTGCCTTCAGCCTCGGCCTCAGCCTCAGCCTGCCTCAGCCTCAGCCTGCATCAGCCTCAGCCTCAGCCTCAGCCTGCCTCAGCATCAGCCTGCTTCAGCCTCAGCCTCAGCCTGCCTCAGCCTCAGCCTCAGCCTCAGTCTGCTTCAGCCTCAGCCTCAGTCTGCCTTCAGCCTCGGCCTCAGCCTCAGCCTGCCTCAGCCTCAGCCTGCCTCGGCCGCAGCATCAGCCTGCCTCAGCATTCAAAATGTGGCCCAGGATTGGAGTTCTGGGAACTAGAAGAACACGAAGTGGCCTACAGTTGGCTCCGGGCATTCAAAATCATGCCCAGGAATGGAGTTCTGGGAATTTGAAGAGCACGAAGTGGCCTACAGTTGACTCCGGGCATCCAAAATGTGGCCCGGGAATGGAATTCTGGGGACTCGAAGACCACGAAGTGGCCTACAGCTGGCTCCGGGCATCCAAAATGTGGTCCGGGAATGGAGTTCTGGGAAGTCGAAGAGCACGAAGTGGCCTACAGTTAGCTCCAGGCATCCAAAATGTGGCCCGGGAATGGAGTTCTGGGAGCACCAAGAGCGATTTTGCGAGGATGTCCCAAGCGATTTCGGCTTCGGCGGCACCGCCCCATGTCCCGCCCCGACCCCCCTGTGGAGTCATCTGCTAGCTTTTGAGACCACTAGAAACCTATCAGCAAAAGCTGTTAGGTAAAAATCACGACGGGAGGTTTTTCTATGTTTTCGGCCTCCGGGGGCTCTTACTGGCCCTCGGGACCGTCAAAAAACGACTCGGGGTGAAAAACCGGTCCCGGCGAATAGGTCCGGACCTCTGGGGGTCGCGTCATGAAAAAATCATGACGTCGGGGGTTTGGGTTTGGTGCGGGCACAGATGGGCCCCCATATGGCTGAAAACGAAGCAGGAGTAACGGCTTGCGCGCCCAGGTTTGGTCCCTACGCGGCCCCCCAAAAAGCCGCGCACCAAAGGTCACTCTTACCCAGGGTCACTCTTGCGTGTAGCCGACGGGGGCTGTCTGTGCGAGACGAGCGCTCGCTTCGATCCCTCCGATTCGATGCGGTTTGACTTCTCGAGGGTTGCCGATTCCGATTCGAGTCGGCTCAGGATTCCGCTTCGGGCTCCGGCCTCTCATTGGAGGCATATTACCTTTCCTGCCGATTTCCGCCGATTCGACTTTTCCCGACTCGGCTGCCGATTTCCGCCGATCCGATTGAATTCGATCGCCGATCCAATGAGCGATTCGACTCTGGGCTCTCCTGCGAGACGGGGGACGGGGGGTGAGAGGGGGGGAGGGAGCAGGCAACGCCACGATTCGTGCAGCCGCCGCCTGGGAATGCGAGGGACTGCTAACTCCCACAAGGCGCCAGCGCGAATCGTGACGTTGCCAGGGGGTGTTGGGGGGGCGGTAACGGGCCGCTCTCGCGAATCGTGGACAATTGCTCTACCCCAGGGCGGAGGCACCAGATGCCTGATTTACAGTGCCCTCTTTTCTCAGCCCGGGCCCTTCTCCGTTCAGTGATGGAGAAAGAGAGAGAGAGAGAGAGAGAGAGAGAGAGAGAACAAAAAAAACAAAAAAAAGAACGGGAGAGGGAGAGGGAGAGGGAGAGGCAGATAGAGGCACTGCCTCATCTTGCTTTGGCTCGAGGATCGCAGGCAGCGTGTCCGCTGCTGCTGGCCTCTGGGCCCCCTGGGCCATCCGCGCCCCGAGGCCTGGCGGGAGCAGGGCCCCGCGAGCGCGACGGGGTGGCGGCTGCTGGACAGCTTTCGCTCCCAGGGGCGATCTGGATACACCAGATTTCGTGATAAAAGGGAGGGGGGTCTCATTTCGGGGGGGGTCTCTTCCAGGCTATCTTGGAGGGCCTGTGGGGGTCTGGGGACGATGTTTTGGAGGGTTCTCCCACGGGGGAGGTCTGAAATGGCTTGTCTTGGAGGGTCCAGACCCCCTCCCTTTATTACGAAATCTGGAGTACACTGGGGGCCCTGGCTCGGGCAGCAGGCGATGCTTTTACGCTGGCAGAGCTCCCGCCACCATCCTTCGCTCTCCTCTGACCGCCGCCGCGAGGTGGCCCTGACGCTGGACCGCGAGTCGCTGCAGGTGGCGCTTTCCAGTGATGGCGCTGAGGTAGGGTCCAGTTCCGGTTCGGGAGGGGCTCGGTGGTTCCCTGGGTCTGCCTGCGTTCCCTCGCAGCTTTGCACCGGCGCCCGATCTGCAGGCTTCGGCAGAGGGAGGGGCCGCTGTCAAGACGAGGGGCAGCGACGAGGGAACTCCTCCAAGAGAGGGCTCGGCCACTCGGCCATTCTTTGGAGATGTATGACTTGATTTTGAAGGAGAGGCTTCCTTCCTTACTCCAGATGTCGTAATAAAAGGGAGGGGGTCTGGACCCTCCAAGACAAGCCATTTCAGACCCCCCCCCCGTGGGAGAACCCTCCAAAACATCGTCCCCAGACCCCCCCAGGCCCTCCAAGATAGCTTGGAAGAGACCCCCCCCGAAATGAGACCCCCCTCCCTTTATTACGAAATCTGGAGTACTTATCCTTCCTTCTGGCAGTGCCATGACTGTGCCTGCGCAGCGGAGTTTGGCGAGGATGGGGGCGAGGACGACGACGAGGGTGCAGACGAGACGGGGGAGCAGGAGGAGTAATGCCGCAGCAGCCAGCCTGCTCGCGCGAGGCAGCCATCCCCGCCCACGCCCGCTCGCCGTCCGACCACGCAAGAGCCCACGCCAGCACCGGCGGAGATCGGTACTCCAGATTTCATAATAAAAGGGAGGGGGTCTCATTTCGGGGGGGGTCTCTTCCAGGCTATCTTGGAGGGCCTGGGGGGGTCTGGGGACGATATTTTGGAGGGTTCTCCCACGGGGGGGGGGGTCTAAAACTTCTCGTCTGGGAGGGTTGAGACCCCCTCCCTTTTATTACGAAATCTGGAGTACTGGCCCCGCTCTCCGGACCGCTCGGACGGAAGCTCGGGCGCCCGCGCGGCCTCGCCCCCGACGACCTGGCGAGCGAAGCGGACGCGCCGCGCCAACGTGCGAGCAGCACGACTTCGGGGGGGGAGAGCCCAGGACGTGCGGTGGAAGCAGCAAAGCAGCACTCCGCCTTTCATGCCCGGAATTCTTCGCGGCTGGGGATTTGTGCAGTAGCCTTCAGTCGGGCCTGTCCCCCTACAGGAGGAAGATTCAAACATAGTTTGAAAATAGTCCGGAGACAAGTTTTTGAGTATTGTTGGGATTGCTTTTTGGGTATTTTTCGAGTTTTTGTATATTTTTTCGCCCAAAATCCCCCTGAAGGGGGACACGCCCGACATAACAGTAGCCGCGCCCGCGCTGCCGTATGATCGTATTGTTGACGGCTTTGCAGCCCTTGAGTCCGCTCGTTTCCGCGAGGCCCCCTTCCATAGGACCGGTGATCTAGAACACGCGAGCCGCCCAAGCGGGAAGCGACAATTTCATTGGAAAACACTTGCGCTGTGCTTTGGACGAGAAGGGCACTCTGACCCCACGGGCGCTGCCCAGTCCTGGAGAGACTGCGCGGCTCTGATCAGGAGGAGAAAAAACACACAGACACAATTAATCGTCGACTCCCAGGAAAATATGCGAAAATATGAGAAGTGGGGGGGAAGACGAAAACCCAGAAAATATGAGAAAATATCGGGAATCCTGTAATTTGTGTGTATTTATTAGTGTGTCCCAGGGCCTCTTCATCTGATGCGAGTGGAGCACGAGCAATACGTATCGGCATTCGGTGTTCCGCTCGGACTTCCTGGATCTGCATTGGGCCCTCTCCGGCGGCGCCTCCGCCTCCGCCCCCGAGGCGCTCCGCGCGCCAGGGAGGGGGGGCCCAGCGCCGACCTAAGATGTCGGTGCGGGCCTCCGCAAGGTTTTGGGTATGATTCTTGCGGTTTCTCCAGCTTCGTTCTCTGGGCCGCGGCCCCGTTTCCAACGGGTTGGCGAGCGAAAGTGTGGGCAGCGCCCGCAGTGAAGTGCAATTTGTTGCCGAGTTCAGGTCGGCGCCAAGGCGAGAGCGGTACTTCGATATTTCACGCGCGATGTGCGTTGCGTCGCATTCCCGCCACGCACTTCGCAATGCCGACAGCAACGCGTCATATGCTGGAAGGGAAGCGTCGACTTCGTCTTGTTACTCCACGGGCGTAGCGGAGCCACCCGCTTGTGGCAGTTATCGTGCCACCAGTTTTGAGATGGCGTGCTTTCTGGCAAGGCGGAAGGGGCAGGACTCCAGCGAGCCTCTCTAGCTTGCCCGTGCCCCCGTCCGCACTAGCCGTCCCTCGCGCAAGGTTGGAAGCAATGCCGCATGGCCCCAGCTTGCGTTGGGCCAAGCTGTCATCCGACACCTGCAGAGCGCAGGTGCGCTCCCGAGAACACGTGGCCCTTACGCTATGGCGTCGTTGCTGCGCAGACCGACGTGGCGGCTCCTCCACGAGGCAGGCCGAGGAGCCCTCGGCCTGATCCCGGGGACCCGGTATGGATTTCCGGACACGGCGCGTCTGCAGGGGGGCATCCCCCAGGCGGTGCGGAGGAGGAGGAGGAGGAGGAGGAGGAGGAGGAGGAGGAGGGAGGAGGAGGAAGGAGGAGGAGGAGGAGGAGGAGAGGAGGAGGCGGAGGAGGAGGAGGAGGAGGAGGAGGAGGAGGAGGAGGAGGAGGAGGAGGAGGAGGAGGAGAGGAGCGCGTGTGGGCTTCCAGAGAGCTCTCGCCACGCTGGCGCCCCGTGCCCGCTCGTGGGCGCGCCTCGCGGGCGCCTCGCGTGCGCCAGCTGGGCCTCCGCGGGAGGCGCGCCGCGTCTTGGGCGCCCCGTGCCCGCTCGGGGGTTGCCTCGTGGGCGCCTCGCGTGCGCCGGGTGGGCGCGTCGAGGTGGCGCCTCGCGTGCGCCCCGTGGGACGACCCCAAAACGGCCCAAGAGGGCGCCTTCCACTTTCTCCTCCTCCTCCTCCTCTTTTTCCTCCTCCTCCTCCTCCTCCTCCTTCTCCTTTTCCTCCTCCTCCTCCTCCTCCTCCTCCTCCTCCTCCTCCTCCTCGGCACCCCGTGGGCGCCCACGCGGCGTGCCCACCAGAACTTGCGCAGCACAGCCCACACCACACGGCCTGCGCCGCAGGGCCTGCAGCGCGCAGCCCCCGCCCCCCCCACTACGGCGCAGCTCGCGCCACAGCCAGCGTGCACTGGCACCGCTTGCGCCTCATCGCTCTTGCACCACATGGCTCGCGCTACACAGCCAGCACGACCTATATCTTACACAGCGTAGCTCACACCAATATATAATAGCCCACGCCGTTGATGACCAGGGAGAGATCATGGCCTGTGCCATGATACATCCCTGGATGTCATGGCCCCTCTTCTTCTTTCAACGCATTTATTGGTCCCCGCTTGTTCATGCACATGCCTCGAGCTGTGATGCGCACCCCCTCCCTCTTGGTCGCCCCCCTCTTGGACGTCCACGATACTGTTGCCAACCGGGTCTCAGACAATGGGTCCCCGTTGCACCCCCGCCTGCTGGTTTCTCGATGACTGCCCATGGGGCCATATGGTCCCAGCCACCGTCAGTCGGCGGTTTCCCGGTGGCTGCCAAGTGGGTCCTGGTCAGCGGGTCTCGGCTACGGTCAGTCTTTGATGGTTCACAGCAGTTTAGTTTCCCATCGGGTTCCTGCGCTCTTGTTAGGCGTAGTGTTTTTTTCAAAGCTATTGTGATTCTGGTGTTTGCACATGTTTTCACAACTCCCCAGAAGGGCGCTGTGTTGTTCGTTTTCGGAGCGCTACGGCAGAGAGCGGGAGCATGAGCGAGTACGAAGCACTGGCGGAGCAGGGCCCTGAGAAGGGGGCTATATGGGGATAGGACACCCCCCTGCTCTAGACCTCCCCCCCTCCCCTCCTGGAGTGCGGAGGGGGGAGAGGGGGGGATGAGGGCCATCCTCCTCCGCCACCTCGTCCCTCCCTGACCCTCTCAAGCCCTCCTCCGTCCCCTCCTCCTCCTCCTCCTCCTCCTCCTCCTCCTCCTCTTCCTCCTCCTCCTCCTCCTCCTCCTCCTCCTCCTCCTCCTCCTCTCCACCCCCTCGCTCCTCGCTCCTCCCTGGCCCTCCCTCCTGCCAGCGCCCCTCCTGCAGCCTGCTCCCCGCCGGACTTCGGGGCGAGGCTGGCCGTGGCGACCTCCCTTCCTCTCCTCCTCCTCCTCCTCCTCCTCCTCCTCCTCCTCCTCCTCCTCCTCCCTTCCTCTCCTCCTCCAGGAACCTGCAGCCTGCCCCCCGCCGGGGTGTCCGAAGGTCTCCGCGTGCCTCCGTGGCTCGAGGCACGCGGTGTTTTGGCGATGTCGTGGGCCGGTTTCGTCTTGATTCCTTGGCTCAAGCCGTCTCTGGCGCTCCAGGGGCCCGCGGGGCGAAGACCGCCCCGCCCCGCGGCTGCGGTTTGGGCAAAATGGCCTCGCGGCGCACGCCCTTCTTCCCCCTGGAGCAGGCCTCGCAGGAGGACGCGGCGCCGCGGGAGGGGCCCCCAGCCTCGGCGGCCGCCCCGCGGCGCTCGTCCCTCAAGTCGCCGCAGGCGCCCCCGCGGGAGGCCGGGGCGGACTCGCCCCCGGGGGGGCGCCGGGGCCCGAGCCCCAGGCTGTCCTGGCTCGGCTCGCCGGAGGACGGATCGCAGTCGCAGCCCAGCTCGCTGAAGAGGCGCACACGCTTCGCAGCAGAGGATGAGGATGGGCGACAGCGCTCCGTGGAGAGCCCGGCCAGCCAGGAGGAGATGGTCCGCAGGAGGAGGACGGGCGGGAGCACTCCACTGGCAGCGCTGCGGCTGAGCATCATCCACGGGCTCGACGATGACTTGTTCGGCCTCCCGAAGTGCGAGGTGGACGAGTTCAGGGAGGCGTTCACCGTCTTTGACAGGAACGGGGATGGCACGATCACAGCCGACGAGATCGGTGACGTGTTGCGCTCGCTGGGCAGGAAGCCCAACATGCCAGAGATCAGCAGGATGATTGCAGAGGTCGACGAGGATGGTAGCGGAGAGGTTGACTTCGACGAATTTTTCAACATCATGTATTCCAAGCTGCAAGAGTCCGATACCGTAGAAGAAATGCGCGACGCTTTCATGGTCTTCGACAGGGACGGAAACGGCCGAATTAGTGCTGAAGAGTTGACGCAGGTGATGTGTAATCTCGGAGAGCAAGTGACGCAGGCCGAAATCGAAGAGATGCTCAGTAAAGCGGATTTCGACGGCGACGGCGCGTTGAGCTTCGAGGATTTTATCCAGTACGTGCAGCAAGAAGGCATTTCAAACATCAAGAGACGCTCTGCGCTCTTTTGGAGTTCATGAGTTCATACTGTATACTGTATCGTCTATCGGCCTTACTCTCGGCGTCACCCCGATGTTTTCATATTGTGCTGAAGTTTGGTGGACAGAACTTGCTTTTCGGATGAAGTTTGTGCGGAGGTGCTGGAGCCGGGAACAAGTTTGCACTAGATTGGGCTAGAGGCTTGGCTTTCAGAGCTCGCGTTCTTCAACGAGATGTCCCCTTCTGTTGAGAAAAAAAAGGTTTCGTCTTGATTCAGATGTTTGCCGGCAGAGGCGGAAGGAAGACGTAACGAAGGGATAATGAACAGAAGCCGAGCACGAAAACCACTGTTTAGTTCAAGCCCTGCATGTCTCTGGAGTGTTCCATGGAAGGCCCACGGAGGCCCCCAGAGGCTCCCCCTTCAAGCGGGGCCCCAACCGCCAGACCTGGTTGCAACGTGGCGATTCAGAGATGCGGGGGAGTCCGTCACGCAGCAACGCCCTGGGCGGTGATGACTCAACTGGGTCCCAGGCCCGCTCGTGAGCGCTCTTTCCCAGCGTAAAGATGTTACTCAGAACGTTCCCCCATCGGTGTTGTTCTCTTGACCGCCATCACGGATCGTCATGCGATAGGGCGCATCACAAGTCTGCCTGCCAGCAGGTGCCCCACAGAGCTCTCGTATTGCCCTGATGGCCCCGTGGACCCACAGAAGCTATTTGGAGGAGGAGGAGGAGGAGGAGGAGGAGGAGGAGGAGGAGGTCAAAGTTTCTTGTAGCAACACGCCTCATCGTGTGCCTCCTGCCGAGGGAGGAGGAGGCGTGTCGCCGCAGATGGTGCTGTCGCTTGACGGGGAGGTCACCGTCCCCATGCAGGGCCCCAGACGATAGACAAATTATGCCCCCCTGGGACTTCTTGTCGCAACACGTCTCATCGTATGCCTACTCCAGAGGGAGGCTGCCTCCTCCTCCATGTCTTTTCCTTGTAAATAACTTATCCCTGTCGCACCCCGAGGCCAGTTTTTAGAGCGGGCCGGGCGTTTCGCCTGAGGCGTCCTGACCATTTATGATTCTGACGTATAAACATTGGCAACAGTTTCTTCACATATGGAGGGCTGGTGGTTTTCAACATGTTGCTCTCGCCTCAGCGCGACGCACATTCGTTTGAATCACTTGCCAGAGTTTCACGGATTGAGGGCGGGTGGTTTTCAACATGTGGCTCTGGCGTTAGTGCGGCGCACATTCGTTTTAAACATTTGCCAGAGTTTCGCATATTGAGGGCGAGTGGTCTTCAACATGTGGCTCTGGCGTTAGCGCGGCGCAAATTCGTTTTAAAGTATTGCCAGAGTTTCACGGGTTCAGGGCGGGTGGTTTTTAAAATGAGGCTCTCGCCTTAGCGCGGCGCATATTCGTTTTAACAGATTGTAAGAGTTTCACGGATTGAGGGCGGTTCTTTTTCAACATGTGCCTCTCGCCATGGCGCGGCGCATATTCGCTTGAACAATTGCGAGAGTTTCACGGATTGAGGGCGGGTGGTTTTCAACATGTGGCTCTGGCGTTAGCGCGGCGCATCTTCGTTTTCAACACTTGCTAGAGCTTCGCGGATTGAGGGCGGGTGGTTTTCAAAATGTGGCCTTCTTTCAAACGCGGCGCGCATTCGCTTTTAAAGATTGCAGGAGTTTCACAGACTCAGGGCGGTTCCTTTTAAACATGTGGCTCTTGCCTTAACGCCGCGCACATTCGTTTAGCATTTTCAGGAGTTTCACGGGTCCCATCATCAACGTACCAGAAATGGTGGTTTGAAGGATTCAGGATTATGCGGGCGCAACAGTTGCGTTGATTCTCTGTGTTGAAGTCGGCGTTCTGGCACGATTCAGGATCGTCAAGGCGCAACAGTCAGCTTGATCCGTGGCGTTGGAATCCCGAGAGCAATGTTTTGGCATGGTTCAGGGTTTTCAAACCGTTGTTCTCCAAAGAGGCAGTTCCCTCAATGGAAATGAAACGTTGTAGGGGCCTATGAGGAGGGAGCTTGGAGGGAGGGTTTACTCCAACATCGTTGATGATTCTTGGGCTTACAATGCATTCGTATCGATTATATGTCATGTCGACGTATGCTTTCAGTTCAGTCGTGCTGTTTGGCGCGGTTCGAGATCGAACCTGGTCGGGTCTTGCGCAGGCCCGTTTCGAGCAGGTCACCTGGCGCATGCCATGCCCTCGCCGAGAGTTTATCGGCGCCTCGCCCCAGGCCCCAGCCCGCCGCGCGCCGCCGCCCAGGGACGAACGGATCCTGCCTCGGCAGTGAAGTGGGGTCGGGCTGGCCTATTTCACGGCCTCGCAGCGCGCACTTCACTCCCCTGGTTTTTTTTCTGCGTTCCTCGGTCGCTTCCTCGTTCAAGCCAGGAATACGTACCTATACCACTACCCTTCTCCCGTTTCCTCCTTTTCGACCTCCTGGGAGGCCCTCTTCGCCACCGCTGGATTCGCCTCGAACTCTTGGTCGGGTCTCGCCCCAGGAAGAGTCCGGGCAGCAACGGTGACGGTACCTCTTGATTCCCCCCACCTCCTCGATCGTCGCCGTCCTCCTGGCCCTTCGCCTCGTCGTCCTCGCATGCCACTTCCTCTCAGACGGAGGAGGCGCGCCGCCGCAGGTGGTGCTGTCGCTGGACGGGGAGGTCGCCGTCCCCGTGGGCGGGCAGCTCGACGGGGCGCAGGGCGTCCCGGTGGGGAGCGTCGCCTGCTCGTGGGATCAGGCGCCGGGGGAGCGCGGGCAGGGCCCCCTGGATGGACGACCTCAGGCCTGATATTTTTGTTGTGGTTTTGGTTGTTTTGGTTGTTGTTGTTGTTGTTGTTGTTGTTGTTGTTGTTGTTGTGGTTGTTGTTGTTGTGGTTGTGGTTGTGGTTGTGGTTGTTGTGGTTGTTGTTGTTGTGGTTGTTGTGGTTGTTGTTGTTGTTGTTGTTGTTGTTGTTGTTGGTTGTTGTTGTTGTTGTTGTTGGTTGTTGTGGTTGTTGTTGTTGTGGTTGTGGTTTTTGGTTGTTGTTGTTGTTGTTGTTGTTGTTGTTGTTTTTGTTGTTGTTGTTGTTGTTGGTGGTGGTGGTGGTGGTGGTTGTTGTCGTCGTTGTTGTTGTTGTTGTTGTTGTTGTTGTTGTTGTTGTTGTTGTTGTTGTCGTTTTTGTTATGTTTTTCCGTCGGCGGCGAGGCAGGGGCGGTCCGCTCCAGCGTGTGGCAATTCTGGGGCCACCGAGCGGCTCATTGGCTTGGCCGGCGTGCAAGACGAGGGCGGCCGCGCGGAGGGAGGGGGAGGGAAGAGCACTCAGACATGGAAGAGTTCCGCGTCGAGCGGGTCGGGGAACAAATAATGGCATAAACATGAACTTCGGGAAATCCGCGCGGGTTTCTCGGATCGGCGCTGGAGCCCCCCCCGGCGGCGCCTTCGGCGCCGCCCCTGGCGCTCTCCGCACGCCAGGAAGGGGGGGTCAGCGCCGATCCAAGAGATCCGTTCGGACCTCCAAGGGTTTCTGTTTATGTTTTTGCTTGTGCCTCGAGGAGAGAAACGCACCGCTGCGCGTCCTGGAAGGTTATCATCACCACGGCTTAATTATCTTTTTAATTTCTTGTCAGAGTGAACCCAAGAATAGGGCCATGGAGTAGCGGTATGGGTACGCTTTGGTTTCTCAAGAAGCGGGTAACAGAAAGAATGAGGACGAAAACGGGCACCAGTGTTCCGGCCCATTTTGAGCAGGGCTCGCTGTCGGTGTCGCCGCTGACGTTTCCAGTTTTAGGGGGCAAGTCGCCTACCCAACAGCGGCCGTTGTCGGTTTTGGACAACGTTCGCTCTTAGGCATCGTACCCAGCTTCTGTTTCGTAACCGCTCTGGGCGTCCAAAGAGGACGGTTGAGGTTTGGGCGGGTCGTCGGCTACGTGTAAGAGCGACCAGGACAAACCCAAGCAAGCTGTCGCATCGTGATCGTTGTCTTATTCATTTTTTTGCCGATCGGCGCGGGCCCTCGCACCCCCTCTCCCCCCCTGGAGTAGATCTTGGTTGTTTTGGGCGCCTGTTTCAAGCTGGTGGAGTCGCCCCCGCAGGACGCACTTTTGCAAACAGTCGCATTCAGAAGAGGTCCGCAGCCAGCACCCCCCCTCCTGCCGCACAATGTCGAAACGCGAAATGAGAAAACGTTCGCCTCGCATGCATCGATCTGTAAGCCGCGCATCAAGTTCAGTGTTGCCCAAGGTCGCTCTTGCGAGTGGCCGTGCGTAGCAGGATCCAGGGATCGATGACCCAGGTTCTCGGCAGTCGTTTCCCCTGCTGAGGTGCCCAGAGGCTTCCGTGGAGGCCTGCCCAGATAGCCTCCGAGGGAATTCTGCTGTCCCCAGCATGATTCAAGGATCAACTAAAGAGGTCTCTGGAGCGGGAGGGTACTGCCATCGGACCATCTAAGATTCGAGCCGCTAATCGCAGCGGCGCTGCCGTCTCGCGTGCCCTCGGGCGTGTGTGTCCAGGTCCCCCAGTTTTGACTTCGTGAGCCATCTTTGAGGTGGGTGCCTACTTGAGCCCTTCTCGCATGGCAGCTGACGGCGTGTGCCCCCAGACATCTCTTTGGCCTGTCGTGCAAGCCACCGCACTCCATGCCGTGCCGCGCACGAGCTGATCCCAGCAATGAAGCTGAGGACGTCTGAGTGGTCCACCTGCTGCCACCGCCTGCTCCAGGGAGGGGTTTCTTCATTCTCCTCCCCGCCCTCCTTGCAAAGCAGCAACGCCACCTTTGGCAGCAGGCTCTCGCTCTGGCTCTGTCGTTCTCCTCCCCGCCCTCCTTCCTCCGAAGCAACAGGGCCGCTTTCGGCACGGGGCAAGCTCTGGTGTTCCCCCCTCCCCCATATTGTCTCGTTGTCCACAGCAGCTCAGGGACAAGAGCATGGATTTGTTGTTGCGCCCCTGGGAGCCATCCAGCTGATGAAACTCGTTACAGATGGCTCGCTGAGGGGCAGGAGAACACCTGGCACATATTTATAGCTGTGGCCGCCAGAACTCCACGAACTCGTCGAACTCCACGGACTCGTCGAACTCCACGGGGTGCAGCGCGCTGCCGAGCGTCTCGTCGATGAGCCTGCTGAGCATCGAGGCCAGCGACGTTCCCTGGCTTCAGGAACAGGAGGCGGAGGAGGATGAGGAGGATGAGGGATTCTGATAATGATGATGCTGCTGCTGATGATGCTGCTGCTGATGACGATCTTGATGATGATGATGCTGATGATGCTGCTGATGCTGATGGTGCTGATGACGCTGATGCTACTGATGATGATGCGGCTGATGCTGATGCTGAGCCTTCCGCTGGTGATGATGGTGATGCTGATGTTGATGATGCTGATGATGATGGGGGGAGGATGAGGATGAGGATGAGGACGATGCTGCTGCTGAGGATGATGTTGCTGCTGAAGATGACGATGATGATACTGATGCTGATGCTGATGCTGCTGTTGCTGCTGCTGCTGATGATGATGCTGAGGATGATGATGCTGATGATGATGACGATGATGATGATGCTGATGATGATGAAGCTGGTGATGATGATGATGATGGTGGTGATGATGCTGATGATGATGACGATGACGATGACGATGACGATGATGATGATGATGATGATGATGATGATGATGATGATGATGATGATGATGATGACGACGACGACGACGACGACGACGGATGATGATTGATGATGATGAATGATGATGATGATGATGATGATGATGATGATGCTGATGATGATGATGCATGCTGCTGATGCTGATGCTGATGCTGATGCTGATGCTGATGCGCTGCTGCTGCTGCTGATGAGATGATGATGATGATGAGGAGGAGGAGGAGGAGGAGGAGGAGGAGGAGGGAGGAGGAGGAGGAGGAAGAGGAGGAGGAGAGAAGAAGAAGAAGAAGAGAAGAGAAGAGTGCGGAGATGAGGAGGAGGAGGAGGAGGGAGGAGGAGGAAGAACGGGACCATGAGGAGGAGGAAAAGGAGGAGGAGGAGGAGGAGGAGGAGGAGGAGGAGGAGGAGGAGGAGAAAGATGGGGAGGAGGAGGTGCGTTCGTGGGCCCGCCTGCGCCTGCAGGGCTCGTTCGCATGCGACGCGGCGGGGGGCGCCGGGCCCTGCCGCCTCTGCGGCCCGTCGCAGGAGACGGCAGCCCACCTGCTCTGCTTCTGCGGGCGGGCGGCGCAGGTCCTCAGACGGCCGGCCCAGCCGTGGCCGCGCCCCCCTGCAGCCCGCGGGCGGCCGCTCGCCCCGGCCGCCGGCCTGTCGCCGCGGGAGGCGCGCCGCCTCGAGGCTGCGCTGCAGGAGGCGCAGCAGTACTCAGGTCCAGCCGGAGCGGACAGGCGCAGAGTCCTCAGGCCCCCCGCCCCCTGCCCGGTCCCGTTGCCCCTGGCCCGAGTCTCTTGGGGCTTCGCCGTGGCTTCCGTGGGGCCGCCTCGCCCCCGCTGGCGGGCCGCCTGGGAGGGGCACCCTAAGCGCCTAAGCGCCGCTTAGGGTACGCCTGACCAGGGCGGGCCGCGGCCCCCCCCTGGGCCGCCTTGCGGCCCTTGGCCTGGGCCCCGTCCCTGGGCCTCGTCCCGCCATCGGGGCCGACTTCAAAAGCGACCCAACGCTGGTGTGGTCACCCGCTCTGCCCTCCCTTGCCCGGCCTCGGCCTCGGCCCCCGGCCGCCCTGGCCCCGAATTGCCCTTCCTGGCCCGGCCCCCGCCTCCGCCCCTGGGGCGCCCCGGCCCAGCCCCCCCGCCCCCTCGCCCCGGGCCCGCTGCGCCGCCCTGCGCCTCTCCGCCCCGGGCCGAGTGTCCGCCGCGCAGCAACCCGCTCACCACAACGGGGCTGCCGGGGGCAGCCCTCGCGCGGCACTCCGCCAGCTACGTGCTGGGGGGGCCGCCCGAGGGACCCCCGAAGAAATGGAGGGCGGGCGCCCCCCGCATAGCGTCGGGCGTCACCCTCCACGCCCTCGGCCGCGGGGAGGGTCGCCGCGTGGCAGGCGCACGAAGGCCGCCCGCGGAATGAACGGGCCGAGCCGGGCGGCCCGGCCGGCCGCGCGGTCCCGACGCTGCGGGCCGCGTCAAGGCGAGCGGAAGGAAGGAAGGAAGGAAGGAAGGAAGGAAGGAGGAGAAGGAGGAGGAGGAGGAGGAGGAGGAGGAGGAGGAGGAGGAGGAGGAGGAGGAGGAGGAGGTATCGGCCGCGAGCGGGGGGGGGAAATGAGAAGGGGAAGGCCTTTTCAGAAGGCTGCTTTCCAGGCTTCCGCATCACAGGCGTCTTCGGGGAAGGCTGAGAACACTTTTCAGAAGGCCAGGGGACTTCCGAACCTTCTGAGAAGGCCCACCCTGTCTCACTTCCCCCCCAGAGGGGCGCTTCGGAAAGGAGGGACGGATCCAGAGGAGGAACAGGTAACGATACCGCTGCCCTTCCTTCGCCGTCGCGGCTGGATTCGCCTCAGAATCATTGTAAGAGCGCACCCCCAGGAGAGGTCCACTGAGTAGTGGTATCGGTACCCATGTGGTTCCTCATGGGAGAGGAGGAGAGGAGGAGGAGGAGGAGGAAGAGGAGGAGGAGGAGGAGGAGGAGGAGGAGGAAGACCAGTGTCAACCCAAGAGTCATCAACGATGTTGGAGTAAGCCCTCCCTCGAAGCGTCCTCTTCATAGGCCCCATACAACGATTCATTTCCACTGTTGGAATTGTTTCGTTAGAAGACAACGGCTTGAAGACCCAGAAACATGTCAAAATATTTTCGGGATTCGAACGCCACGAAACAACCGGAATGTTGCGTCTTCGCGATGTTGAATCGCGCCGGAACGCCATTCCTGGCGCGTCAGCGCCGGGAATCAATGCAACCGTTGTGCCGTCATAACCCTGAATCCCTCCGAAACGCCACTCCTGGTACTTTGATCGTGGGAATATGTGAAACCACTGCGAAGTTTTAAAACGAATGTGCGCGGCGCTGAGGCGACAACCACATTTGTGAAAAAGGAGCCGCCCTCAATCCGTGAAGCTCTTGCACATGTTTAAAACGAATGTGCTCGGCGCTGAGGCGATATTTACTTTTTGAAGGCCATCCGCCCTCAATCCGTGAAACCCATCAATTGTATTAGAACGAATCTGCGCGGCGCTATTGCGAGGTCCACATGTTGAAAACCAAGGAGGTAGACGAGGAGAAGGAGGAGGAGGAGGAGGATCATGACCAACAAAAACCACATAACCACCAACGATGTTGGAACTGACCCTCCCGCCAAGCTCTCTCTTCATAGGCCCCTGCAGCGGCCCATTTCCATCGAGGGAATTGCTTCGTTGGAAAACAACCTTCTCGAAGACCCAGAAGCATGCCAAACTATTGTTCTCGGAATTACAACGCCATGGATCAACATGACTTTTGCGTTTTGACGATGCTGAATCATGCCATAACTCCGTTATTGGGACTTCACCACCGCGAGCCAACGTAATTGTTGCACCCGCAAAATCCGGAATACTTTCAAAACATCATTTCTGATATTCTGATCATGGGAGACCGGGAAAGTCTTGCAATTTTAACCAGCGGCGCTAAAGTGGGAACCACATTTTGAGAAATGAGCCGCGCTCAATCCGTGAAGCTTTTGCAGTTTGTTAAAGCGATTGCGCGCGGCGCAAATGCGACAACCACATTTTCCAAAGGAGCCGCCCGCAATCCGTGAAACTCTTGCAAATTCAAAAAACGAATGCGCGCGGCGCTAAGACGAGAACCTCATTTGGAAGACGGATCGCCTTCAATCCGCGAAGCACGTGCCAATTTTTAGAACGAATGTGCGCAGCGCAAAGGCGAGAGCCATATGTTGAAAACCACCCGCCCCTAACTGCGAAGCTGCTGCCAACGTTTAAGTTTCAGGGTCATACGTGGTGAGGAAGTCTCAGGCGAAACGCCCGGACCGCCCTAAACTCTGGCCTCGGGGTGCGTCAGGGATAAATTATTTCTGAGGAAAAGGAGAGAAGAAGGAACAGGAGGAGGAAGAGAAACAAGAGGAGGAGGAGGAGGAGGAAAAGGAAGAGGAGGAGGAGGAGGAGGAGGAGGAGGAAAAGGAGGAGGAGGACGAGGAGGAGGAGGAGGAGGAATGGAATGGAAGGATGCCGCTCCAAGCCGTGAGGCGCGTTCGCTGGCGGCTGGCGCCGCGCGCCTCGGCCGCTCTCGGTTATTGTTGGCCGCGGAGGGTCGGTTCTTGGAGCGTTTCGGGGCGTGCGGCGGTGAGGCGCGGTCCGTTGCAGCGAAGCGAAGGCAGGGAAGGAGGAGTGGTGGGAAGGAAGAGGTGGCTTTGCATTGTGAGGCAAAGGGGAGGAGGGAGGAGGAGCATGAGGAACCGGAGGGGCAGGAGGAGCCGGAGGAGGAGGAGGAGGAGGAGGAGGAGGAGGAGGTCGGCCACGTCGGAGAGACAGGGCCGCTAGCATTCGAGCATTCGAGGAGGAGGAGGAGTGTAAACCCAAGACCCACCAACGATGTTGGAACAAACCCTCCTCCAGGCTCCCTCTTCATAGGCCCCTTCAGGGTTCACTTCCACGGACGGAAAGGCCCGTGGGGAGACAACCGTTTGAAGATCCTGGAGCGTGGCAAAACACCGTTCTCGGGATTCGAACGCCACGAATCAGCTTGTCTATAGCGTCTTGGCAATCTGGAATCGTACCAAAACGCCCTTCCTGGGACTTCGCAACACCGCGAATCAACGTATGTGTTGCGCCTTGACAATCCGGAATAGCTCCAAGACGCAGTTGTTGGTACGTTAGTTATGGGAGCCCGTGAGACTCTTACAATGTTTTATAAAGATTGCGCGCGGAACTAAGGCGATAATCACCTTTTGAAAAGGTGCCGCCTTCAATCTGTGAAGCTCTTGCACATTTGAAAGACGAGTGAGTGTGCGCGGCGCTGAAGTGAAAACCACACTGTGGAAACGGCCTTTCTTCAATACGTGAAGCCATCGAGCAGTTTCGAGCGGAATGTGCCCGGCGCTTTCCGGCGATACGCGCATGTTGAAACCCTCCCGCCCTCAATCATTGAAGCTCTGGCACATGATTACAACGAGCGCGAGCGGAGCGAAGGCGTCGACCACATTTGAAAAGCCACCCGCCCTCCACCCGTGAATCTGTTGCAACTGTCAAACGCCAGGATCACTCAAGGCAAGGAAGTCTCAGGCGGCACGCCCTGGCCGCCCTTCCGGCAGGCCTCGGGGTGCGATAGGGAGGAGTTGATCATTATAGGGAAAAGCAGTGAAGGAGGAGGAGGAGGAGGAAAGAAGAGAACGAGGGGCGGCCTTAAGAGATGCCTAGTTGGAAGCCTCCGATACCTTCCGAGCAGCACCCTTCCCTATTGGAATGGCCCCCGCCCGCATCCCCTCCTTTCTGCGCGCCGCCGAAATCGGGTGGGGAACTCCGCGGGAGGATGGGGGCACGGCGCGACGCTTCCTTTGCAACCGCATTTCTCGTGTGTCGGGGCCTGGGCACGTTGCGGGATCGCATGGGCCAGCGACCCTCCTCTGCATCCTCCTTCTCCTCGTCCTCCTCCTCCTCCTGCTCCTTCTCTTCCTCCTCCTCCTCCTCCCCCCCCCCCCGCCCTCCCTTCCGTTTCTCTTGTCCTCATTCCTCCCCTCCCCCGCCCCCCGCCTCCTCTCACCTCCTCCTCCTTCCTCCCCTCCTCCGGCCTCCTCCTCCTCCTCCTCTGCTCCTCCTCCCCCTCCCCCTCCCCTCCTCGTCCTTCTCCTCCTCATCTCCTCCTCCTCTCCTCCTCCTCGCGTCCTCCTCCTCCCCCCTCCTTCCTCCTAGTCCTCTCCTCTCCTCCTCCGCCGTCCATCCTTCTGCTCCTCCTCCCTCTCCTCTGCCTCCTCCCTCCTCCTCCTCTCCTCCTCCTCCTCCTCTCTCTCCTCCTCCTTCCTCGCCTCATTCTCCCTCCCCATTCTTCTCCTCGTTTTCGTTCTGCTGCTGCTGCTCCTCCTCCTCTTCTCATCCTCTCCTCCTCTCCCCTCCTCCTCCTCCTCCTCCTCTCCTTCCCCTCCCTCCTCCCTCTCGTCCTCCTTCTCCTTCTCTCCTCCTCCTCTCCCTATCCTTCTCCTCCTCCTCCTCCCTCCTCCTCCTCCTCCTCCTCTCCTCCCTCCTCCTCTTTCTCCTTCCTCTTCCGCCTCCCCGTGAGCCTCTCTCCCTTCTGAGGCTCCTCCCCTCCTCCTCCTCGTACTTCTACCTCCTCTCCTTTCTCCTCTGCCCCATCCTCCTCCTCCTCCGCCTCCTCCTTCCTCCTCCTCCTCCTCTCCTCATACTCCTCCTCCGCCTCCTCCTGCCCCTTTCTCCTCCCTTCTCCTCCTCCTCTCCTGCTTCTCCTCCTCCTCTCCTCCTCTCCTCCTCCTTATTAATCTCCCTCGACACCCCCACTTTCCCTGGAGCTGGAGCAGGCTCTTGCAGCAGAGGCCGCCGCTCAGCGGGGCGCCGCCTCCCGAGCCCCGAGGGCGGCCGCGGCGCCGACGGCGACGGCGGCAGCGGCGGTGGCGGCGGCGTCGGCGACCCGATCAAGTTGATGCAATCAAGCCAGGATGAGGAGGAGGAGGACGCGGAGGAGGACGAGGAGGAGGAAGAGGAGGAGGAGGAGGAGGAGGGACGATGCAAGCACACTGATCTCGGGGCTCAAGTTGCGGAAACGTAAGACAGGAGTGCGCCAGAATTCGGGTTTGCCGAGTTTCACGGTCCAGTTTTCTTGGGATGTCTGCAGCGGGAGCTCGCGTCAATTTTCACACTTGCTCTCGTCATTTTCATGGTGGCCACATCATTCCAGCCCGAGTCCCCCGAACTGAGTCTTGCGTCTCCCCGATCAAGGTGTGGGGGTCAGTGCAAACGGAGGTCAGCCAGAGCGCCGGATCTTGCAGGATCCTGCAGAGCTAGGGCTGCATTGGCCTGGGCTTGCGCGCAGGATTTTGCAGGATCCTGCAGGAGCCCCAGACCCCCGATGTCATGATTTTTTTATTACGTCGACCCCCCGAGGTTTCGACCCAATGCCCCGGGACCGGTTTTTCGTCCTGAGTCGTGTTTTGACGTTCCCGAGTCCCGCTAAGGGCCCCCGGAGGCCCAGAACAGCGAAATATTTTTCCGTCGTGATTTTTGTCGTGGCTCGAGGGGTCAGGATGCTGCAAGGCCCGACTGTCCCCGGTCTGCGTTGACGTTGACCTGGGTCGGTGTGTCCCCGATGACATACGCATGCCGTCGGCATCGAAGTTGGCGTGCCGTCCCCCGCGGGGCTCTTCTGAGCCAGACGGATTGCTGACCGACGACTACGAAACATCCACGTGAAATTTACTTCCTTTTTCGCTCGCCGTCCCAGTGTTTCGCACTGGCCGCAATTTACGCAACAATCCGCTGCAGCACGTCTGCAAGGTCGGTGGAAGGTGTGGAAGCATTGCTTCAACTGGTCGGCTGCTGCGGCGACGGCGACCCTCGCGCGTGTGCGTGTTGCGCTGAGGTGGCCGCCTGGCCAGGCGCCACCCTCGAGGTCGAGAGGCTCGGGGTCACGGCGCCCGCGGGCCACTGGCAGCGGCTCCTGGACGAGGCGCCGTGGCCGCCGAGGTCCCGGGCGGGCGTCCCTGCGTCGGCCCCCGCCGTTCTTGCCCTCGGGCGGGCTGTCGTCCGACGGCTTGCCGCGTTGGGTGAGCAAGCATGATGGGCCGATGTTCTACCACCACTACCACAGGGATGAGAGGGAGGAGGACGAGGAGGAGGAGGAGGAGGAGGAGGAGGGGAGGAGGAGAGGAGGCGGAGGCGGAGGAGGAGGAGGACGAGGAGGAGGAGGAGGAGAGGCGGAGGAAGGAGAGAGGAGAGGCAGACGAATAGAAAAAAAAACAAATAATTAATATAATAATAATAATAAATAATAATATAATAATAATAATAATAATAAGAAATAATAATGATACTAATCCAGAATAATAGTAACAATCGTTACTAATAAGAATACAATTAAACCATAAGAATAAAGAGGAGGAGGAGGAGGAGGAAGAGGAGGAGGAGGAGGAGAGGAGGAGGAGGAGGAGGAGGAGTTGAGGCGGAGGCGGAGGCGGAGGCGGAGGCGGAGGAGAAGGAGGAGGAGGAGGAGGCGGAGGAGGAGGAGGAGGAGGAGGAGGAGGAGGAGGAGGAGGAAGTGGAGGAAGCCCCCAGGGGGCGACCTCGATGCGGGGCGGCGCATCGGGGCCCCTGGGGGAACTGCAATCCGCCATGTCGTCGCTTGCGGCGCCGTGGCCCTGGGGCGTTGGTGCCCTGGCGGGCCTGGGGCGGCCCCCCGACTCCGCCGGGCGGTTCCCGTTGGGAGTCGGTCTGCCGTCTCAGGTCCCCCAGGGACCCGACGTTCTAGGGCCGCGTGGGTAACCCCCCAGGGCTGGCGCGGGCTGGTTCTCCAGCCCGCGTCGGCCCGCGTGGTACCAGCCTCCGTGGGGGCTGGCTCTGGCCACTGTTGGGGCCCGCCCCTGACGTCGGGGTGTCGGGTGTGGCCAGGGGGGTCGGCTCCCTTGGGGAGTACAGCTCAAGACGTGTACCGCCTGGCCCCCCTTGGGCAAGGGGGCCTGTTGGGGCGGGCCTGGCTACCCATGTGCGGTAACACGCGCCGTGTGCCCCGCACGGTGACGTGGGGTAGCCTGTGTCCCCTGGTGCAGGAAGAGCCAGGGAGGCATGGGGGCTGGCCACTTCCGGTGGTCGGTGCTGCTCAGCGAGCAGGCGGGCAGCACGTGTGAGGCCGGCGCCTCCTCTCTTCTCCCCCTCCTCCTCCTCGTCCTTCCCTCCCCCTCGGGCCCCGTCGGCGTAGCGGTCGCTAGCTCTAGGCGATCGGGCGCTCGTGGGGATCTCATGAGCGCCAACTGCGTGCGCAGGAGGAAGAGGAGGATGGGAAGGGGGAGGAGGAGGAGGAGGAGGAGGAGGAGGAGGAGGAGGAGGAGGAGGAGGAGGAGGAGGAGGGAGATGGGAGGAGCAGGGATGCCTCTACCGGGAGACCCGCGCCCGCGAGGCCCCCGGCGAGGACGGGTTCTCCTCCTGGCTGCTCCGTGCGCTCCCCAGGCTCGGCGGGCCTGCCACGGGGCCGCCCACCTCCCCGGGAAGCTCCTCCGGGCCCACGGGGAGGGAGCTCCGGGGCAACGTTAGGGGGCGATGGGCTTAAGTCGGGCATGTCCACACTGCTCACCACTAAGTATTCGAAGGTTCCTGGATTTTTGGGGGGCAAGATCTTTTCATCTCTGATTCTTCTGTCCTGGGCCTCTTCATGGCCACTGGGGGGGCCAGGAACAATCAGAAACGAGCACACTTAGAAATGAGCACGATTGGAAATGAACGACGCGCAAGCTTAAGTCGTGGATGTTCCTCTACAGGAGGAAATTTCAATACTACTTCAAAAAGTTGTCTGGTGACGATGTTCCGTGCTCTTTTTGGCAGTGTGTGAGTTGGTGTTGACTATTTTGTTTGTCTTCCAAAATCCGCCTTCAGGAGAACATGCCCGACCTAAGGAGGCGCAGGGGGGATGCATCGACACCCAATCGCCCGTTCATCGCCGATAACGGCCCGATAGTCCCAACCCGCTCAGAAAAACGGGGATTCCCCATCGGGGGCCGATCACCGTTCTATCGGCGATGTGTCTTCGATTCCATGTCGGTGGTTCCCCCCCTTGAGTCAGTCCCCTGATCATTGCCCCTCAGGTGCAGAGGAGGAGGATTCGGGATCGCCACACTGGTTCGGGACTCGGGTCGTTCTCCGAGGGAGTCTCGGGCGACCCTGCCATACGGGGTCCCAAGACCGTGCGGTGACGGACCGTGCGGTGAGGTCGCTGGGGGTTCCGAGGTCACCGCGCGGTCTGTCACCATACAGCCGGGGCCCTGAAGAAGGAACCCTTTTCGTTGGGGAGGGGCTCCGTGTTCCTTAGTTGTTTCGCAGCTTGCCTTGGGTTTTCCATAGGTTTTCGAAGGGAAATCGAAGTTTAACTTATGGACAAAAGGGGCCTCGTTCCTTACTTATCGTTCCTTAGGTCAGCGCCTCGACGGTACGATTTTGGGACTCACAGGGAGCTGGCAGTGCCAAGAGGGGGCCACCACGGGGGGATCACCAGAGTTCCTCTTGAGGATCGAGGCTCCATCCAGGATCGAAACTCGAGAAGGTTCTGTTGGAAAAACCACAGACTGTGTGTTTCTTCCCGGGGAACGCGCCGACTCCGGCCAAACCTGGGGCCCGCAAGAGGCCCCAACCGGCGCACGGCGCCGACGACGAGCGTTTAGGCGCGCCCAAATGTTCTTGCGGAGCGCGCTGGAAAACAGGTTGGTCGTGAACAGGTCAGTGTTTGACACGCCCCACTTGTGTCCTGGAGGCCTGCCCCTCAGGCACGGCTCAGCATCCTTTGCCTCTGTCCGTGCGCGGCAGCGGCGGCAGCGCAGAGGCTGAGCCGCGAAGTGGGTGATCCCTCCGTGGCGTTCGGCGTGTCCACCGCAGGCGGGAAGGGCAAGGGCGCGGATGTGGAAAGAGAAGCAGCAGCAACAACATGAGGACGAGAGGAGGTGGGAGCATGAGAGGAGAGCAGAACGAGGAGGATGAGGGGAGATGGAAGCAGCTCCAGCGCTGTTGACACAAGCCCAGCTGGCACGACCTGTCTTCAGAGACAGTGCGGCGCCATCCAGGCGGTGAGTCGATGTTTACGCCCACATTGGCTTTGGCCACGGGGTCTTAACGTCGGGTCGTAACGTCTTAACTTATCCTACAGGATTACATGCACCATGTTGCCAGCACCCACGGGGAACAAGGGGAGGAGGAGGAGTAAGAAGCGGAGCAGGAGTCGGCGGATGCTCTCTGGATGCCGAGTTTGGGGACCTCTTGGACTCCCTCGGGGCCAGCTTCGGGACGTAGTTTTAGCATTCGTGCCGGCTCCTGAAGGTCCTGGGGCTTTTTTGGGGGGGTAGAATCTCAGGGCCCCCCGGGGCGTCTCAGGACCACCTGGGAACGGTCCTGGGCAATCTTGGCAGTCGTGGCAGCCTTGGCCCCCTCCCCCGTCGGAGGGTGGATGGATTGGGGCCTGGGCCTGCCCGAGGCAGATGTCGTGTGTTGGCAGCTTGGGCCGTCTGGGGGCCCCTCGAAGGCACGCTTCTCCTCCTCCTCCTCCTCCTCCTCCGCCTCCTCCTCCTCCTGCTCCTCCTCCTCCCGAGGGCGTCTTGGCCCCGTTTCAAGAGTGCCAGTCGTGAAGTTCTTCTCAGTTCGGCGTCTCCTCTAGCCTCCAGGTGACTGGTCCTGTATCTCAGTTCCTGCCAGCGGCTGCTGAACATCCGGTCAAAGGTTTCCCAGGGTCTCATGGAACAACGGCTGCTCAACTGTAGTCTTGAGTCTGGTGGGTTCAGGTTGAACCGTTATCATTCCCACTGGGGCACAAACGGCAGTAATAGATCCCAGCGAAAAGGGCGACGGCGGACCCGCTGCAGACAAGCCGGAGAGGCCGATTGACAGAAAGACAGGCTTGAGGCAAGACAGGGTTGGGAAGCAGCGAGGCGCTAGAGTCTTGGCACCACGACCGTGCATGACCGTTCTATTCGGACTGTCTCGCGCTGGGTGAGCTCTCGCAAGTGTATGTCGGCTTGCATGGACGGGTTGTGCGTGTGGACTTTGTGGGCCCCAGAAACGGCAGGGCCGTTTTTTCACAGTTTCCAGCAACATGTCCCTTGGAAATGGAAACGGCAAAAAAAACGGCGACCGGAAACGGCAACAAAACGGCTCCAGGATTGGAACCGGAGCCGGAACCGGTCAAACAACGGCGACGGAACCGGTAAAAAAACGGCGAATCGGAACCGGCAAAAAAAGGGCAAAACGGAACGGGTACAAAAGGGCCTTGTCGTTTCCAGGGCCCACTCAGGGTGTGGATCACTTGCAGATGCCAAGAGAGCAGGGTAGAGCGGAGGCAATGCGCAGCAGGGGGAGGTGATGTGGAGCACTCCACGGGCTTGCTGCACGACTGGTGGTCCGGTGGCGGGCACCCGAGGGAGCGCTGCCCACACCGCCGCACCTGCCCTGGGACGGCACGCGTGAGTTCCCAGAGGCGCCCTGCAAGTCGAAGCTCGTCCCTCGTTCCCGCCAGAAGTGCTTGTGCTACGGTCGGGCCTTTCGTTGGGGAGGTGCTCCGTGTTCCTTACGTGTTTCGTAGCTTGCCTCAGGTTTGCCTTAGGTTTTCGACAGGAGATCGATGGTTAACTCATGGAAAAAAGGGGCCTCGTTCCTTATTTAGGGTTCCTTAGGTCAAGGCCCCGACTGTACGGTCTGGCCGAGGGATATGATCGAGGTCAGTGCGGGGAGGGCACCTCAATCTTCATCGCGTTTCCATGTTCTTGTGCATCCCGGGGGAGGGGCACCCTCGACTGCTCTTCAGTCCGACCGGCGGAGGCTCTCGCGTTCCTGAAGGCTGTTCTTGTGTTTCAGGTCCAGCCGTAATGGAGGATGACGATTAATAAATGACCGGGGGTCGTGTTCACGCGGCGGCGCCCGGGATGACGATTAGGAAGAACCGGCCGCGGGCTGGAAATCTATTTCTTTTGATCGTTCTCCTCCAGGTCAGAGAATTGTGCAGAAATAGGAGGGAACTTTTTTTAAATCGTTCCCCCCATTGTTTTATTAACCGTCACCCCGCATTACTGTTTGCTCGCGTTGCGTTGCGAAGCAATTGGCTTGCATTTCCGGGAGTTGGCTCGGAGGGCGCCGTCGTGCCCCCCGCGTGCCCGCTCCGTGCGCTGGCCGGCCCCGCCGACTCGTCCCCTCGGTGCCCGCTCCGTGCCCGCACCGTGCCCGCCCCCGTGTGCTGCGGTCCTGCTGCCCCCCCTCCGGAGAGGGGCGCTATTGTTGGGGGTGGCAGATGCGCGGCAGGGGGGGGGACTGGTCGGGTACTCCAGATTTCGTAATAAAAGGGAGGGGGTCTGGACCCTCCAAGACAAGCCATTTCAGACCTCCCCCGTGGGAGAACCCTCCAAAACATCGTCCCCAGACCCCCCCAGGCCCTCCAAGATAGCCTGGGAGAGACCCCCCCCCCCGAAATGAGACCCCCCTCCCTTTATTACGAAATCTGGAGTATTGTTGGGGGTGGCAGATGCGCGGCACGGGTGGGGACTGGTCGGGTATGGCCAGGACCCCGGGTAAGGGGACCCGGTTAGTGGTAGGGCCCCGGAGCCTTTGAATTGGCCAGAATCACTAAGCCTGCAGGTTTGCCATAGCTCGTGTTTTTCCGGGTGACGGCAGTTCTGGTTAGTGGAAATGGCACGGGGGGGGCGCCCCCGAAACAGATCACTAAACCAGGTTCCACTAAACCCAGTTCTACCAACGCCCGAACTGGGGACGGGGCACGGGTGCGGGGAAGGTCGGGTGTTGCTAGAAGTGCCCCTGGCCCAAGAGGTGCCCCCAGGATTTCCAAGGAGGCCCCCACGGCCTCTGGAGCACCCCGAGGCGAGGCCCAGAGGGCCCCCGGGGATTCTAGAGTCGAGCGAGGGAGAGCGGGCAGAGGAAGGAGGGAGGAAGGGGAAGGAGGGAGGGGAGGGAGGGGAGGGGAGGGAGGGGAGGGAGGCAAGCTAGGTGCGCTCGCGTCATATCTGACGTCCTACCCCTCCCTCCCATCCCTTACCATGGCGCTGATTTTCTCTATCCGCGGACGCGTGTCGTAGCGGACCTGTGGCTCCGCGCGCGCGTGCGTAGTGGGTGGTGGTGCACGTGCGTGCGTGTGCGCGCGTCGTGGTGGTGGTGGTGGTAGTGGCTGGTGGTGGTGGTGTGGTGGTGGTGGTGCTAGGTGGTGGTGGTGGTGGTGGTGGTGGTGGTAGTGGTGGTGGTGGTGGTGATGGTGGTGGTGGTGCTGGTGGTGGTGGTGCTGGTGGTGGTGGTGTGGTACTGGTGCTGGTGCTGGTGGTGGTGGTGGTGGTGGTGGTGGTGGTGGTGGTGGTGGTGGTGGTGGTGGTGGTGGTGGTGGCGGTGCGGCGCGGTGGTGGCGGGCGGATGGGCGCGCGAGAAAGAGGCCCGCGCTGGGGCGAGAACGCCATCCTGAACGACGGAGGCCAAGCACCGATCCGAAAATGAGGCCCACGCTGCAGCGGGAGCACGATTCGGAACGATTCGGGAGCAGAAATGAGGCCGGCGCCTCAACGAGAGCAGCATTTTGGGAAAAAATGACGCCGGCGCCTCAGCGAGAGTCGTTTCCCGGGATTTTCCGGGCATCCTGTGTGTAAAAAACAGTACGCGGAGGGCGCGCGGCTATCACCCGGACGCCATCAGGGGAAGGATTCGGGAGCAGAAATGAGGTCGGCGCCTCAACGAGAGCAGCATTTTGGGAAAAAATGACGCCGGCGCGAGAGCAGCATTTTGGGAAAAAATGACGCCGGCGCCTCAGCGAGAGTCGTTTCCCGGGATTTTCCGGGCATCCTGTGTGTAAAAAAACAGTACGCGGAGGGTGCGCGGCTATCACCCGGACGCCATCAGGGGAAGAGGGAGAGTATATTAATATATTGAGTAATTGTGGAGAGGAGGGAGGGGAGGGAAGAGAGGAAGGGAGATAGGTGGAGAGCGTGCGAGGAGGTCCTGAAGGGCAGGAGGGGGCTCGCGCTGGACGGTCAAGTGGGCGCCCCTGTGGTGTGCTGGACCGCGCTGTGCGCCACCTGTCCACATGCACACACGGGGAGGAGGTCTTCGAGGATCGAAGGAGTTGCCATCTCTACTTCGGCGTGAGGCGGCGGAAGGACGGCGAAAGGTGGCGGAAGTAAAGCGAGGGCGCCTCCGACGGCGGAAGGTCGGCGGAAGCTGGCGGAAGTAGAAAGTTGCCTCCAAGAGATGACAATACGTTTGGGTTCAGGGTTTCCGGAACCCCTCGTATAGCTTGCACCACTCTGAATGCATTGGCTATGCTGCGTCCCGCAGTTCTAGCGTGCACCGCGTCTGAATATTGCGCCACGCGGGTTGCACCGAATAGCCTGCGAAACACACAGATAGGCTAGATGGCACCGCATTGGGTGAGCCCCATAGATTTTCTGCTCTCACGAGTTGTAGACTATGACCCTTGCCAAGGTCGGACGTAAGTCTGCACAAGGGTGACCGAACACACGAAATCGGTTTGCGTCTTAATGGAAAGTCTGTCCGAGTTTTTGCGCGCATGCATTTTCTCATCGTCCTCATCAGCACCAGCGTCATCATCATCGGAAGCGTCATCATTGGCATCGCAATCAACACTACCATCGTCGTCTTCATCACCATCGTCGTTATCCTCACCACCGTAGTCATCCTCATCCTCATCGTCGTTGTCGTTGCTCTCAGCAAAAGCGCGACCACCATCATCATTGTTGCCGTCGCCGATGTCGTGGTGACCATCATCACTCGCCCGCCCGAGCCATGGATCTACACAAGGAGTGTCCTCGCGACATTGCTCCGTTTGAGTTTAGTCAACAAGTTGAGGGTGCTTGGGCGAGATCTTTCCTCGAACGTTGGAGTTGACATTTCACTATTTCCAACCCTCATTGCGCTGCTTCGAGTGATCCCAAAAGCTTGCTTGCGCATTACGTTGTGTACCCCATACATGGCGCCACATACATTGCACGACACATTCACTAGATCCTGTAGATCTGTCCGTAGCCATTTTGGCTCAAGTTTGAGACGCTGGAGTATTGCTGCCTGCAGCTGTTGCACCCCTCGTTACCTCTCGCAGCTCACTCCTCGTACGCACGCAATGGCAGTGTTCAGCATGATGGTCTCCCTTCCCGTTTTGCCGATGCTCGTGATCGCTCTCGTGTTCACGACTTGTGCTGCCATCGAGGACATCTGGCTCTTCGGCATCGAGCCCTACACTATCGTAGTGCCGGTAGGCTTGTCCGTCCAGATCGGCAAGGAGTTGATGCTGGACGAGATCAACAAGAAGGCCGACCTCTTGCCTGGCTACAGGCTCCGGATGGCACATCAAGATGGACAGTGCAGTGCCGACTGCGTCTCCAACATGTTCCTGAGGAACCTCTTCAAGGATACATACGAAGTGTTCGCGCCCGGGGTGGACCCACTCACTCTCAACAGAGACGGGGTCGGCGCGGTCTCGTATAACAGTTCGAGCATCTTCAACGAGGTGTGGACCTCTGCAAACATGTCTGGCGGGCCCGTTGGCCTCATCGGAGGCGGGTGTTCAGGGGGAACCATGGCCATCAACAATGTCGCTTACATGGCCAACGTTCCCATTGTGTCGGCGCTGTCCAGCAACCCAGAGCTCTCCGACCGCAGCAAGTATCCGAATTTCTGGAGGACTGTCATGCCGGACACCCAGTTTGCTGGAGCATGGATGGCTACAACGAAGGTCTTGGGCTTCTCAGACATGACCGTGGTCATCGGCGAGACGTCAGTGTGGACCCCCCACGCCGCATCCGTGCTGAGGCAGTCAGAAGCCCACGGAGTGGCCCTAAAGGGCGTGGACCTCAGCGAGGAGTTCGAGTGGCAGGGCGAGCCCCTAGAGGGCTTCGCAGGGTACCAGGTGTCTATCAACTCTGTTAGTGCTGCATTCGAGGCCGCGAAAGGCATCCGGCAACCGAACCGCCGGATTGTGCTGACCATGATGTACGACGATCGGCTGAGGATGCTGTTCTGTGAGTGCCACAAGCTCGGTTTGGACAACTTCATTTTCATGGGTCCCGGCTGGCTCGGCGACGGGTTCTGGCGTACAGCCGACGACACAGAGTGCTCGATTGAGCAGGTGACGCACCAGGCGAAGGGTTGGATCGTGGCCGATGCACGGTTCTGGCGTTCTGACATGAACACAAAGCTGACCTGCTTGGATGACATGACCGCCGCGGACTTCCAAGCCAAGTGGTTGGAGAGCCAGCGCATCAACCTCACGACATTTGTCGGCATCACGAAGGAGGGCATCCTGCCAACCCACTATGGGGCAGTGGCTGCGGACGCCGTCTGCATGTTCGCGCTCATGCTGCACACTGTTCTGTTCAAGGCGGGCCATTCCATGGAGGACCTGATGCAGCGCAAAACGGCGGTGTATAACGAGATCCAGGAGATCTTTAACAGCACCGACTTCGAGGGGAACAGCGGCCGCATCCGCTTCGAGCCGAATAGCCCGGATCCTGCCAGCTCCATCATAGTCTAGCATTTCCAGTCCTTCAGGGAGGACTACGTCGATATCGGGGAGTACAACATCGCGGACGGAGTGCTCACCTTCCTCGGAGTTTCCGACTTTGAATTCAAGATGCCTGGAGAGATCTACGCTGCTGGGCTTGTGGGTGCTGCCAGCCTTGCTGGTCAGCCAGTGGCCTTCGACACTTGTCCTCACGGAATGATTCTGAACTATGCGTCAAACGTCTGCGTACACTGTGGTGACTCAGAGGTGTTCGTTGATACGCTCGGCGGCTGTACTTGTAAGGCTGGCTTCGTCTCATCGACGGAGGGCTGCGTCCCTTGTGAGGCGGGCACGTACGTCGACGTTGTCGGGCAGAACGCCTGCATTGACTGCGAGACCCGTAGGTTCAGCGACGAGGGCGGTGCCACTGCGTGCGAGCGGTGCCCGCGGGGCTCTTTCGCAAACTCCACAGGAAGGGCCAGCTGTACCGACTGCCCGCACAAGGAGTCCGGGAAGACCACGGGTGGCTTGGGTTCAGAGTCAGAAGAGGATTGCCAGTGCGGGGTCGGCTTCAAGCCGGTCGCGAGCGATGGCAGCTGCGAGACGTGCGGCGAGGAGGATGAGACTGGCCTCGTGTGCCTTGGCAACGATGTGGTGGAGGTGGCAGCAGGCTTCTACGCGGCCGACGAGTCGCTGTCCGTGTTCCGCTGCTACGGCAACGACCCCACGCTGCGCTGCCGTGGCGGTCTGGCAGGCCAGACCTGCGCACCTGGCCGCGCTGGCATCAGCTGTAGCGAGTGCCAGGAAGGCTCGATGCCCAAGGAGGATGGCAGCTGTGTGCCGTGCGAGGCAGAGGGCAATAGCTCGACGGCCCTGGTGCTCGTGGTGGCCGCCCTCTTGGTGGGCCTCTCCGCTTTGTACGGTGTCATCGACAGGTTCAATACCGCGAAGTACAGCTACGCCATGCTGCTACCGCTGGTGGGAAGCATCTTGGTGACGATCGTGCAGCAGTTGGCGGTGCTCGGCGCTTTCAAGGCCGTAACCTGGCCTGCGCCGATGACTGGCTTCCTTCTGGGCCTCGAGCTGGGAACTTTGGACGTCGAGTTCTTGAACCTTGGCTGCGTGGGACAGATCTCCCCCCTGGGCCGCTTCATTGTGAAGCTGAGCATTCTGGCAGTCTGCGTCTTCGTCATCCTCATGATCCATGTGGTCTCGGTGCTTGTGTTCTACAAGGGCAGATTCTCGGACAGGTTGCACATTTTGATCGCCTGTCTGGGCTCATGCGTCACAGTCTTCTACATTTCTGTGATCTCGGCCGTGCTTGGGCCGATACAGTGCCTGAAGAACCCGAATGGCAAGTGGGCAGCTCGACCCTATCCGTCTGTCGTTTGCTGGGAGTCTGATGAGCACTCCGTGATGGTCGCCATCGGCGCAATCGTTCTTCTTATCCCGATCGGCTACCTGGTCCAGTGCTGCTTGACTGCATGGCGCTTCCCTAGGATGATGAGTGAGGACCACGTGTCCTACCTGCAGTCCTACGCGTTCCTTTTCTTCCGTTACAAGCCGGAGACTTACTGGTACTGCCTGGTGCAACTCCTCCGCAGCTTGCTGCTGGCGGTAGTGCTGGCGCTCCCTGACGTCGCGTTCCAGCTGATGAGCATGCAGCTCATTCTGGCCCTTCAGCTCTGCTGTGTGGTGTACTACCTGCCGTGGCGCGTGCCTGGACCCAACACCCTCGATGCCACGTTCACGGTCGGCGTGGTGGTGGTGCTGGCTTGTGCTTCCTTCTATGTAGACGCACACCCAGGTGATGTCCTGGCCTGGCTCTCCATCGTGTTGGTGGCTATCATGCTGTGCTCGATGCCCGTCATCGGCGCAGTGGTGCTCTACCGTGAGCTGACACTCAGAGACAACAAACCGTTCAAGTTCTTCATTTGTCACGACATGGCTGGTGCCGGTGCCTACGCGCGTCTGCTCAAGATGCACATGGAGAAGAGGGCTGTCAGGGTAGGCATCGACAATGCTTGCGCTGGCGCCAGTCTCGACACCATCATGGACCAGGTCGGCACGCAGACTGAACGCTTGATCGTTTTGGCGTCGAAAGGCTTGATCCAGAGGCACAGCTCCATGAACATGATCATGACCGCGAAGCGCAAGCAGGTACAGGTGGCGAAGGTGACAATGCCCGAGTACACCGATCCAGAGGAGGAGTTCATCAATTCGTACGAGACATACTTCAGCGACTTGTCGGTGCTCGCCAATAGCGGCTTCACAGTTTCGAACGTCAAAGATGCCCCGCGCTGGTTTCATGGCCTCCAGGGAACCCCTGTGAGCCGGCAGCTGACCAGCACCTCGCTCGAGGAGATTTGCAACGAGCTGATTGGGAAGGACGCGCCGCCAGCGAGCGAGGCTGGCGGCGATCCGCCCCCAGACATCGCTACTTTCATCGTGCACGACAGCAAGAATTTGGAGGCCACCGCCACTGCTATGGTCCTGGAGCGCATGTTGGAGCCGTCCTTCGGGGCTGGCAAGTCGCCGAGGGTGCTGTCCGCTGGCCAGCCTGCGCCCTCCTCGGCCAAGCAGGTCATCCTCCTCTGCGCCGACGGCGTGCTCGAGCAGGAGGCCCCACTTCGTACAATTACGTCGGCGTCTAAGCTTGGCGCGACTTTCTTGCCCGTGCTGGCCGGGGACGGCTTCCGCTTCCCGCCCCTCGACAACGCCCAGAACAACGAGAAGATCCTCGAGCAGGTGGAGATGGATGTTGTGCTGGCAGCCTTCAAGCCCGTCTCTGTGAGCTTCCCCGCTGCGTTCGCCTCGGACCAGGTGCTCCGCGTCATCTCCGACCGAATTGCCGCGCGCTTGTTTCACGAGGAATGGACCAAGAGCCTCCTTGAGTCGATCATGACCAGCGAGAACCAAGTGCCTGACCTTGCAATCATCTCAAGCAGATAATCGCTATCTGCCATGGTGGCTAGGCAGGAAGCATGTTTGTAGGAGCTCGCTTCATGCCAAGCTAGAGGGGGCCAAGTGCAGATGCAGCTGGCAACATATCAAGAGCTTGGTTATCATGCACCAAGCGTGACCCGGTAGATTCGGGCAGCGCGCATTTCCTCGTTCTCCGAGGCGTTACCCAGCAGGTTTTGGCAGCGCGCATTCTCATCTGTTTCCCCTCGAGTGTGGCCCGGCAGATCCGGGCAGCGCACATCTCCATTTCTTTCCAAGCGTGACCCGGTAGATTCGGGCAGCGCACCAGACTTTGATGACGACACCGCGGTTCATCGTGTATAAATATATTTGGCAGTGGCGAAGCTGAGGATACCGAGCGCTTGGCAGCACCGCAGCATGCCATTCGGACATGCCCAGCGATCGTGCCGCCCTTCACGAACCCATGGGTTACCAGCTTCTCCGAAGCGTGACCCAGCAGATCCGGGCAGCGCGCGTCCCCACGAGTTTCTCTCTGGGCGTGACCTGGCAGACCCGGGCAGCGCGCATCAACGCCTTCTCTCAGGCGGCAGCGCGCATCCTTATTTCCTCCCAAGCGTGACCTGGCAGAGCCAGGCGGCGCTCATTGACATCTTCTCCCAAACGTGGCCCGATGTATTTTGGCAGCGCGCATGCCCATTTTGTTTCCTCCCAGGCGTGAGCCAGCATTTCCGGGCAGCGCACGTCTACATTTCCTCCGAAACGTGACCCAGCAGATCCGGGCAGCGCTCCAGGCGATAGATGACGACACCGTGGAGACCGCATTCCTTGTCTTTTGGGGCCGCCTGGTGCGGTAGGACATGCTGGCCCACGGTCTGCCCGAGACCGCCTATGCAGTCGCGAGCCTACTCCCCTTTCTGAGGCCGCGTGGTTCGGTAGGACATGCTGTCCACGGTCTGCGCGAGGCTGCCTATGGCAGTCGCGAGCATACTCCCTTCTTTGAGGAGCCTTGTGCGCCTGCTCCTTCGGCACAAAAAACTAGATCCTGTAGATCTGCACCACATATAGCACAGATCGAGAATGCAAGAACCAATTGTTTGGGGCCCACGCTTGCAACCATGATGTTTCGCCGATTCCCTTTCCCAGCGAGCATCAGAGTGGCCTGATGCGCAGTTGCAGCACCAGCGTGCTCGTGTACGTCCTTGCTCGTAATCATGCTTGAGATGTGGTATTCGACTATGCGTTGCCCCCCTCTGAGGTTCCCTCGCCACACTCAATCCTGGTCCTCCTGGACTTTCTCCTCCCCGACGGCAGGAGTGGAGCGATGGTCGGCCCAGCCCACACGTCGCCGACTTAGAGTGCCCGAGCCGAGTCGTCCGGCGCCTGGGCCCCGCATGGGAGGGCGGGGCGGCCAGAGGGGCAGAGGCCGGAGAGGCATCGGCCGCAGAAGGGCGAGGAGCAGAGCGGGAACGGCCAGGTGCCACTGCAGACGCAGCCGGTGGTAAGGAGGGGTGCAGTCGGACCGAGGTAGTAATGGAGGATGACGGTGAATAAATGACGGGGGGTCGTGTTCACGCGGCGGCGCCCGGGATGACGATTAGAAAAAAACGGCCGCGGGTTGGAACATTTGTTTATCGTCCTCCTCCAGTCAGAAAAGAAATAGCAGGAAACAAAAAACTATGCTTTAATTGTTATCTCCCATTTTTTATTAATCGTCATCCCGCATTCAGGAGGGGTGCAGTCGGACCGAGGTAGTAAGACCGAGGTCGGCTCGGGGAGGGTGCCCATGTGTTCGTCGTGTTTGTTGGATGCTCTCGTGCATCCTGGGGGAGGGTACCCTCGAGATCTCTTCATGTTGGTCGGCGGAGGGTCCCATGTCCTCGAAGGACGTTCGTCTGTCCCAGATACGACTGTAATTCTCCCGAGGGCATCCTTGCAGCCGTGCCTCCCTGGCCCATTCTCGACTACTTTCCACGGCCTGCCGCGCTCGAGAGATCTTCAACACGGGCGTCCAAGGGCCTTGCATCTGTGTCGCGCACGCTCCTGTCAGTTTTGACTGTGTCAGAGTCTAGGATGGTTTGCTCCGTTCCCCCCCTGGTGGCCTCGACCGCGACGCCACGACTTGCAAACGCAAAGCTGTTGCGCTGGGCTGGAGACGGCGGAACAGCAGAAAACGGCGCCGGAGTCGGAGCTGGAATCGAAAACGGAAGCAAAAACTGCGATGGAGCCAGAAAACACATTGACGAACGGAACCAGACAGGAAAGGGCGAGCGCGTACGCTTCAAACACGCACGCGCGCCTCACTCGCGCGCCGGCGCCGCGCGCGCACGCCATGCGCGCGCAGGCTCGCCGCGCACGCGCACGCGCGCCCAGCGCGTGCACGCGCGACTCCTCGCGTGCGCTCGCGCGAGCGTGCCGCACGCGCGCAGGCACGCCGCACGCGCTCGTGGCCCCCTCGTTTCCAGGGCTGGCGGCGCTCAGGAGGCTACGGGGGTCCCGACTTAATGGAGGATGACGATTAATAAATGACCGGGGGTCGTGTTCACGCGGCGGCGCCCGGGATGGCGATTGGAAAAAAGCGGCCGCGGGCTGGAAAACTATGTTTTTTTGTATCGTTCTCCTCCAGTCAGAAAATTGTGCAGAAATGGCAGGAACTTGTTTTTTTAATCGTTCTCTCCCATTTTTTTCTCATCCCGCATTATTCCCTGGGGGTAGTTTTCGTCCCAGATTCATGTCCGATGGTCCCGGGGCTCGTCAACGGACGGGCCTTGGAGGCCTCAATCATATCTTCGGAGTTCTGGCGACAGCCCCTAGAGGTGGTCGGGCAGTCCTGGGCGGCCCTCAGGAGGCCACGTGGACGTCCTCGGCGGCCCCGCGTTACCCTAGAGCTTACTGGGCCCTGGAAACGTCAGGGCCGTTTTTATTGGTTCCGTTTTGCCGTTTTTGTTGCCGGTTTCGACGCCGTGTGTTTACAGGTTCCGTCGCCGTTTTTGGTACCGGTTCCAGCTGCGGTTCCAATTTTGGAGCCGTTTATGTTGCCGTTTCCAGTCGCCGTTGCTTTTTGCCGCTTCCATTTTCAAGAGACACTTTTTCGGAAACGGCCCACTAAGCCTCGAGATCGAGGCTTGGACCGCGGGGATCGCCTTCCAGAGGCGGCGCTGGGTGCTGAGACGCCTCGCCTCTGGGGCAGCCCACAGAAGCCTGCGTTGAGGCCCGCGGAAGCTGCCTCGGGGAGCTGCTTCCGCGCAGCTTCAGGCGTTGCCATCCCCTCCGATCTGGGCGCTGCACTTTTTCTTGCACCGGGCGTTTTCGCCAGCTCTCGGGCCCTGGGACCCTCAAAGACGGATCCTGATTGAAAATGGCGCTGACAGACTGGGTCTCTGGCTCCGGCCGTGGCTTGTCTCGATGCCGTTCTTTCCGCAACGTCAGACAGGCCTCGGCACAAATTAGCGAACACATGCCACATTCATCCGTCAACGCCTCCCCCTCCCCCCAATGTGCACAGTGGGCGGTGGGTCTGATGAGATGCACTTCGACCGCAGTCTCCCCGGCGCGTGCTAACATTGAGTTTGGGGGGGATGGGGAGTGCTCAGTAATCGTTTCCCTCTGCCGGATCTCAAGGTCTGAGTGGGCAGCAGCAGGTACAGTCAAGACGCTGACGCAGGGACCACTGTCGGGCTCGGGAGGGGCTCCGGTTTTCGGGCCGCTCCCCCGGCTGTCACCGCCCACCAAGCCACCCCGACCCCACCCGAAGGCCTCCATTTGGCCTCCACTTCCAGTGTGTGACACACACTGGAACGTGCTGCTGCGGCTATGCCGTCCTCAGTCGTGCTGCTGCGGCTATGTCGCGGCGTCCCGCGGCGATGCCGCCCAAGAGCCCGCTTTGCTTCGGCTGCCCCGCGGCTGCCCCGCGGCTGTCCCGCGCGCCCTTTTCAGCGCAGGGCGAGGTCGCCTCGACGAACGCAAGCCGCGGCCTCCTCAGTGTGTGGGGGGGGGGGGGTCGGGGAACACGGAACAAAAAACACATGGGACCCGTACCCCCCCCACCCACCCCACCCCGAGGTTGGGGTCCTCGGGTTGGGTTGGGGTGGTCTGGCAGGTAGGAGCTTGTTTTTGTTAAAGACTCTGGCAAGTTTACTTGCATGGACGGGGGGGGGGGGCTGAGCCTGAAGCAAGCCGCAAACGACTTGCACGTTCGGGGGGGGCGCGGAAATCACGCAAGTCGAAAGGCACTTGCACGCTAGTATTCGCTTGAAGAGGGGCGAGGGGGGGGGGGGGGGGGGCGAACGCCATGCAAGTAAACTTGCCTGAATCCAAAAAAAAACAGGCTCTAGGCAGGTTTGGGCCGCGGAGCCTCTTCGTGGCCGAGGCTCGCCGTGGCCGAGGGGAAGAGGTACGAGCGGGAACTGCGGGCCAGCGTGCGGCGCCGCCGCTTCCAGGCGTCGAGGTCCCGAGCCGCCCCGCCCCCGCGGAGCGGAGCGGCACTCATGCCCGCGTGCAGGGCACGGCGTCCCGCCGGGGCCGCCGCCGCGACCTTGGGCCCGCGGCGAAGGCGGACGCCAACGCGGTCGGTCAGGCAGCGGGCCACGCGGGGCGTACGACGAGGCGAGTGGAAGAGAGGAGGGCGGCCACGGAGGGGGAACGCAGGGGGGGAGGCCTCAGGCGTAGAGGGTCTTCGCCACGAGGTATGGCGCGGGCGGCGTCGGGTGCCGAAAGCCGGTGCACTGGAAGGTGAGCGGCCGGTGCAAGTTGCCGAAGGAGGGGGCCAGCGCAGATCCCACCAGAGAGGCGAGCCGTCATCCACGGGGCGGAAGGCAGCCGCCGCCGCGACACGCCACGGTGGAGACCTATGCCAAGAAACGCCCTGCTTGCCTCCAGGGTGCCCTGGGTTTCTTGGGCTTCGATTGTTTTTTGCGATGGAAAGCGTGACGCTCCCACACCAGAAGTCAATGGACGTGTTGGCGCCTCAGGGTTCGGCTCCTCCTGGAAGGTCTCTTGTGGTCAAGCCCCCACTGTGCGCAGAAATTCTT